TGCTTTCAAAATTTTTATTGTCACTCTAGGAAAAAAGCTACAGATGTTTACTCCATAGAGTAGAGGAGGGGAAAAAGAACAAATCAAAACTGACCTGTAAAAAATCATACAAGTCATTGCTGACACCCTTTTCATCATGACGAATATCACGTCTATCAGAGCTATAGCTGAAGCCAGTCCCAGTAGGCTGGTCAACATACAAAATATTCGAGACCTGCAGAATCATCAAAGGAAATAAATCAATTTTCTCTGATACCTGAAATACCATTATTATACGGACGATTGTCTGAAATTCTACAAATTGTAAGCAGGAAAGAAAATCCATCCATATTCTCTTATTTTCTTCAGTTAATTAGTAATCTGGGGAAAAAAATCTATAAGAATGGCATCACCTTATCCCACCCATACTCATTCCATACAAGAGATAGGTTATTGGCAATCGTGAAAGGTCCATTCTCATAGAAAAGAGCCATCTCACTGCTACAACCTGGTCCACCGGTCAACCAGATGACAATAGGATCTTCTTTGCTGTTGCGTGATTCAAAGAAAAAGTAAAACATCCTGCAATGAACACATCTCAATTGTTAATTAAGACAACATGTAATGCAAGTAAAGACTTTTAGAGGGAAAATGCTACAAAAAACAGACAACCAGGATATCAAGGGAAGAAAGTTTTGGGTATTCATCTTGGATTCAGCTATTTGATGCTGCTACATTATATAACCAATTTAAGGATTGAAGAATCTAATCTATCAGAAAACAATTAATACGTATTCCTTCAATGCAAGTCCATGAAAATAAGCATGCAATGAAAAGTAATGAAAATATTTGGAAATTCATTCAATACAAACCAGAACTTAAATTGAATAAAAGTGTTCAAGTCCATTGTGATTAAGTAATATAGAGGGTGTTTGGCACCCATTTTGTTGGAAAAATAAATTTTAGAATAGTAGATTGATGGGGAATGTGTGGATGAAAAATAAAGAAAAGTTTTTTATTTATGTATAATATTATTTTAATGAAGAATGTGTGGTTAAAAAGAAAAGAGAGAAAAATGCATTTTGATAAAAATAGGAATCAAACAAGGTCATAATACCAGGTCCAAAGAGAAGTGTAAGAAACACCGACCCTTAATCCTATAAATTTGGAGTCAAATACTTGTATCAACATCGCAACTCTATTTGGTTGATTGCTAAATCTACTAGAAAATCCAAAGCAATTACTCCCTTTGCAACCAGAAGAAGCCATGTTATTTTTGTCTACCCCTGTTCTTCT